ATATATACTATATATATATATATTACTAAAATTTTATTTAAAGTTTGTGTCATTAATGTAAAATTTTATTTTTTTCAACTGAATTTTTGCACAGTTCATTTTCTCTCTTTTTATTTTCACGTTAAAAAGATAAAAAAAAATTATTATTGTTATTTTTTACTTGCTTTCTTTTTTTTGGAACTTCGGAAAATTTATATCGGATGCCCTTACGAAAAGAAACTACTGATTACAACTGCAGTACTGCAGTAATATAGTAGTCTAGTAGAAAATACAATATTCAACCACTATTGCACTGCTATACTACTATACTATAGTACTGATAGTGCTGAATAGTGTCATTACTACTGCGAATTTTTCGCTGAAATTTCAAAAAAATAAAATTAATTAATCCAATTTTATTGTTAAAATAAGTATTATTGATTAGTATCATATTCCACACGATAAAATTAAGATAAAAAAACATTCCCTCTGAATTCGATAATTAATTTCATAGCATTCCCAAGCGGTCACTTATCCTAAGTTGTACCCCAATATAGCTTGGCGTCTGCGATCGTATGGAAACTGCTCACTCGATGATCCACGAACATCTATAATGCTAATAGATATATAGTTATAATGTATCTGAGATCAATAAACCTTCAGTAAAGATGTGAAAAAGATGAAACATGTATGTATGAAAAAAAATTAATATTTAATATAATTGTACGATCTATTAACGAAAACATATTAATATCATATTGTCTTCTCATACATATTAAAACGATTTACGTAAAAAAATGCATAAAAACTAATTTTTGTGTATTTGTAATAATTTTGCAATGCTTTTAGCAAAATGTTAAAAAATATTTAATATATTTTTAGAGAAATATCAAATTTTTTGACAAATTTTTGGACAAATTTGTAAAGAAATTTCAATGTAATTTCAGCAATTTTTTAGTATTTTTGTTGAAAAAATTACTTTTAGCGAAATTTAAATCATATTCCGGAAAATTTCAATAAATCTTCAGCAAAATTTTCCAAACACTTTCGGTTAAAATTCAATGATTTTTTCAAGAGTTTTTATAAAAAATCACTTCCATAAAAACTTCAGAAAAATTTTAAACAAATTTCAAAGAAATTTCAACAAATTTCAGTAAAAATTTCCACAAACTTACAGAGAAATTTCAGTTAAATTTTGATAATTTTTCAATATTCTTGCTGAATAATTCACATTCAACGAAATTTCAGTGAAATTTCAACAAATTTTCAGTATTTTCGTTGAAATATCAATTTCAACAAAATTTCTATAAGATTTTAACAAAATTTTTCGACCAGCACTGAGAAAAATGTCCAGTATTTTTGATCGGAAATAACCGTTCTAGTGCTTTCTCCGATCAATTTCGATCGGATTCAGGTTATCCGATAAAGTGACAAACACTTTTATCCAACGAAATGTAATTTCCGACCGGAACATGAATCGTCATATGCCTATCCGTTAAAATATTATAGGATAAATCTTCAACTTGATTGGATATTAAACTTAAACAAATAAAAGAGAGTATTTTATCTGATCAAGTTTGATATCCGATCAATTGGAAAGCTGGCCAATCACAGAATAGTTTGTCATATATAGTTGGTAATCGACGACTGTTTCCATAGGCTCTCTAGGCTGATGACATTGGTTGCGTTCAGCAGAGAAAATTAATCAGTTAGCTTAGTGATTCTTTATCTTCTTATATATTCGTTCTTACCTTTAATTTTTCGCTAAATCTAAGTGTAGAAATTAATCATATTAAAGAAACTAAGTGCTGATTAGTTTTCTCTGCCATTATTTTCATGTTGAAGTCAAGCGAGCATGTATCTCTAGCGTGAATATCTACTTAATTTTTATTACACATTCGTTCTTATTCTTGGCTGCATATACTGTAATATCATTGAAGTATCGATAAGAAGTGTGACGATAAAATTTCTCAAGATATAAAAACAGTACTTGAAACTACGAAAGTTGAAGAAAAAGTAATCCACATTCTTATAAGTAAATCTTTTTCTTATATAAAAATTTACATGTTAAATGATTAATACTTGTTTATTCAACTGTGTATAATTTGATCAGTTAACGTTATCTGATAAAAAATATATGCGTATAGGTACTTCATCGGACATAATGTGTCGAATAGTCCGTTCAAAAGGTAACGAATATTTCTCGTCAGACACACACACTCCAATGAATTTATTTCCGATTAAATGTGATCGGATTTTTTGTCTGATCAAAATAATCAGAAATACGTTTCTTACTTTTTGAAAAAATAATCCGATCATTATGATCGGAAAAAACCTGGATATTTTTCTCAGTGAAGAAATGAATTTGTATTTTTGTGTGCATATGATAAGTATGAAATTCTATATTTAAAATATCTATAATAATAACTCGCTTTTAATAATACTGTAAAATATTGTCCCTGCATGTGGAAATATTATAATAACTAAATGCTCTAATGGTATATATGTATTTTTTACTACAATAACGATTTTTTTATATTAAATGCAATTAATATATTGAATGAAAATACGCCATGTTACTAAATATTCTGTTAATAATATAATAAGAATACAGTAGAGCTAAATATTAATAATGTCACTATTAGTAGCGCTGGGCACTACTAGTAGACCACAGTAGCAAACACAGTAGTGAAAATAGTAGTGCCTACTGGAATAGCACCCAATATTACTACAGGAGTAGTATTACTATAGGATCATAATAGTGTTAACAGGATACTATTTCACTTGTGCATTTTTGTCGTATACAACAAATGTGTGCAAAACAGAGAAATCTTCAAATTTCTCTATTCTATAACCAATCAATAGGCTTGAAAAATATTTTATTGTATGATAAAAGCGCAAAAATGAAATAGAGACCGTAAACTCTATTGAATCTAATAGTGTACACTAGCAGTGATAGTATTATATTATTAATAGTGTTAAACACCAGTAGCATTACTATAATTCAGAGTAGCAATCACGTAACTTTTTCCCTAGAATGGAAACGTGAAAAGTAAAAATTTTATGTGCAGAATGTTCCCGGATTAAACCGCCAAACTTAAAATATGAATTTAGAACTGTAAAACAAACAAAAATTTTCCTCTGGACGTATGTTCGCAAATGCTTTGTTCAAGAGATATTTACTTCTGAAATTATGCAGAACTGTAGGAATAAATAATTTCGAAATAATGTCGAAATAAAGTCTATGCTCTTTATTACTTTACAATAATCAAAATTTTATTATAAAATGTTTTGTTCAAAATGATAACCTCCAGTTCGGAGGCAAGCATATTATTACATCTATCAATAGGAAAACGAGTAGCTGACTGACATGATACGTCTGTAATTTCTTTGCACGCTTGCACATTCTTCGTTTTAATGATTGAAGGTCATTAACAGGCACTGCATATACTTTTTGCTTAAGAGTATATTATGCAAAAAAATCTAATAGTGTTAAATCCGGTGAACGCAGAGGCCAGGCCACAGATCCAGCAAGACTGATCCATGTTCCGGGAAAATTAATATTAAGCCACTGTCGAGAACCTCTGCCATGGTGGAGGACAGCCATCCAATTGAAACCAGGAATTCATTATCATATTCAAAAAAATGTTTTTCAAAAGATCATAAAGTTCATTGTTCAAAAATGCGAGAAATCCATTCGCATTCAAATGAGCTGAAAATGGAATCCGATTGAAATATTACTCATTATTCCTAACCATACATTACATTGAAAACCGTGTTGGAAATATTGTTCATAGATTGCTCGAGGATTCTCATGTGACCAAACATGATTATTTCTTTGATTGAGAATACCTTGCCTGGTAAATATGATCTGGCCACGAAATGTTTTGTAAAAATTGTGGTTCGTTATCTGTTTGATTTAAAAACCAATCGCAAAATGCTCTCCTGAGTGGCATATTAGCTGGTAATAAATGTTGAAGATGGTGGATGACGTCCATCGGTTAAAAGTGTCTTCCATAACTAATGAAATTCCTAACGCAGAATCAGATCTTCGGATACTTATTGATGGATTTTGATCGAAATGCTGCAATATGATGGCTGTTCTTCTTTCATTTTACAGTGGTGCAAAAACTCCATCAGGCCGGGGAACCATATTAAATGACTTAGTTTTCTTCAGTTGTTGAAATGTTAAGGGTTGACAATGGAGACCTTTAGTTGAAGATGAATTTCTTTACGCTGAAATTATGGCTAAAATACTGGATAACGTTTTAATTGTGATATTTGTGATCAAAAAAGCTCCTGAAGGCTTGTACAGAGCGATTTTTTTTTAAAGCGAAATAAAAATTTATTCTGATATTTTATCTCATGTACTATATATACTACAGTGCAGTTAAGATGCACATAATTTTATTATTAAAAAATTTTTAAGAATCAATTTGCAAAATCTGGCTCTGTACGCGCCTTCGCAACTTCATAAAAAAAAAACCAAAAAGATTTTATGACGTAATATTACTTCTTGGAAATAAAATATCAGCATAAAAACAAGTATCTACATCGTAAATAAGGAATATATTATTTTATTCATTAAAATATTTTTAAAAATTAAATTACAAAATTTGGTTCTTTAATAGACTTCGTAATTTCGTAAAATATAAGCCAAAATGAGTTTCATGGCAAAATATTTCTTCTACAATATATGATAGAGTGCAGATATGTAACTGCATCACAAATGAGGTGTAAATAAGTTGACTTGTTACTCTTGTCGACTCTTAAAGAGAATATTGATTTGTACGGCAATCTTCTTCGGAAATATTGCGGCATATTTACGGCGAACAGCAATTCCGTCACAAAACCTATATAAATATACCATATCGGCATATTCACTATTAAAATACGTACGAGGCATGATTATAAGTCTATTCAACAAAAGCATTCAACGAACTAATAGCTTTGCAAACAAAAGCCTGTCAATGACTTTCGAGCTTCAAAACAAAAACAAAAGATATTTCAATTATTCATTCCTACAGTTATCTGTATAACTTCGGAAATCTCTTGAATGAAGCGTTTGCGAGCATACGTCCAGAGGAAAATTTTTGTTTTGAGGTGAATTCATATTTTAAATTTGGCGGTTTAACCTGGGAATCCATACACACATATATACAAAAAATTTTTACATTTTCGCTCTAGGGAAAAAGTTACACGATCGATACTCTGCAATGACACTATTGCGTATCAGTGGTGACACTATTGCGTATCAGTACTATCAGTATAGTGACATTATCGAATTTCAGTAATCACCACATACACTAGCAGTTTCTTTTCCGTAAGGATATTTGGAAAAAGCATCCGGCCGGATAATCACCCTACCACACATCCGATTGAATATCGGATACCGATGTTACATTCTTTCTTAATATTCGATATCAGATATTATCATTTGATACATCCCTAATAAGTAATGATTAATTGAAAACGCATAATGTGCATGCTAGTCTCTTAAGACGAGCAAAATAGATATAATTACGCAAATGTGAATTACAAAATTATGTCGGTACCTTTACGACGTCTGTCCTCCTCCTTACTAGCGTTGCAGATGCCATTCAGTACTTCTATAACAGAAAAATAACCGTTATAAATGCTCTTATTTAACGAAAAGGTAATTCATTTGCAATGATAGATAATAACATATTTCATTCCTTTTTATTTCTTTTTTTATAATGTAAGTATATTTTGTCACACATTAAACTTGATAACCTTATAATCAAAATATTAAAATTATATAAAACTTCTTTTGACAACATATATTCAACGTTTTTACTATTGCTCGGCGTTTTACGCAAATTTTGTTACGCAACGTATAACCGAAATACTGCACGATCTGAAATTACAGCGATTTCTCGAGAATTGAGAAGAATAAAGAACTAGGCTGATAGAAACTCTAGTTTTATTGTACATACTTCAAAAGATAAACAAAAATAAAAGAAAAGACTAAAAAGTGAAAAAAGGTCTATTATATTGAGTATATTTGAAGGTATTTTTGCACTCTTTCCCAATACATATGCATGCATGTGTGCGTGTAAGACACAAGTATATCATAAAAAATCAAATATTTATATATTAATATTTCAAAGAGTGTGAAATCTAATACATCAATTTGGAAACATTTATTGAAATATATGGTTTTTGTTGATAAATAGAATAATATAAGAAAAATCTTATTAAAGTTTATCGCGATGTAACAAAGTTTCTTAGTTCTTGAAGCTTCTAGATCACAAACTGTTGAAAATCATAGATCGTTGATTGCTTTATTTCTTAGACAAATAGAAATATATTTATAAAATCCAACTTTTACTTAAAATTTTTATATTTACTTCAAAAATGTTTCTTTTAAAACAACTTGAAAGTGTCACTTCAATATTCGAAAATCAATTAATATACGACAAAAATTTTATAAATGCAAAAATATTCCAATATTTTTAGTAGCATGAAAGAAAATCAATGTATAAGCGTGTGAGTACTCGTTAAAGATGTCTGTTACCTATTTATTTATAGAATGAGCATATAGCAGCAAGCATGGTCACGCGCTTGCGCGCACATTTTCTCTACATGTTCATTCGACACTGTTCGCTTCGATAACGCACATTACACAAGAAATACGTATACAAATATGAAATAATATATTATAAGAAAATATACGTGAATACTGACTCATATACGGATATTGTACAATACTGAGATATTTGGCTTGATGGAGACTAGAAAGAATTCTTATAAAAATTTTACACCGCTTTTGCACCTTATACAGACCGTTTTTAGCCCATTTTTTTTTAGCTCATTCTTGTCCGTTTTTAGCTCTTTTTTGCACTCGCAAGCACCCGAAGTGTACCGTGAAAGTACAATAACGAGTATACATGAGTATACGTATGAATACTTTTTAATAAATTGTCCATTTTCAATACTCGTTTTTCCGCTATGAGTATTTTTTAGTGGATTATCCGTTTTTAATACTCGTATTTCAGCTGAAGAGTGAGAACACGTTAATACTTTCCACTTTACTAATACATTTACTTATCGTTTATTAATTATCACATCTTAATTTTAAATTAAACGATCAAAAAGGTATCATACTTTAATATTTTTTTTAATATTTCGTACAATCTCTAATAAATTGGAAAAGAATTCTTATAATAAGGTAACTCCGATATTTACGTCGCGCGAGGATTTACGTCACAGAAATTAGAAAGAATAAAAGGAATGGAGATAATTTGCAAGCAACCAATCTATTATATATGCCTTTATACATATTATATTAATATCGTAACTTCAATTTTTTACTGTAATATTAGTAACACTATTATGCTAATTGAATCGATTTGTCAATGTAATAAGTAGCGCAACCATGTTATATGTAACTCACATGATTATTGTAAAGAGTGCAAAAGACTTGATTATTTGATGATACATAAATGTAGAGGGATAAAGAATGGACTACAACAAAATACAAGTGCTTATCATTTTTCGTTCAGCTTGTTGCATCTTCCACCTGTTTGGAACATACATATTTTTTGCGTATGGGCTTTATATTATATCATATCTTATATTATATCAAAACGCATAAAATATATATATTGGCTTAAGTACATTAAACTCAATGCATTACATAAAACATATCGTACCTCCTCGTATCATAACTCTTGTAATATATGCAAGATTAGAAATATTATCTATTATTTCCTATATATTATATATTTATCCTTATTCCTTAATAAAACTTTGTACAAATACATTTTATATTTTAATACATTTCTACCACTCGGTACATACTCGGTATATACTCATGTACTACACAAATGCAATTCGTTTTAACCACTCATTTTTACGGAAAAATTTCTGTTTGTGACCTAAAAACGGAGTCATACTCATTGAGTGAAATGCATGTTTTTACCACTCAAGCTAACCATTCGCGCGGGCTAAAAACGGGCTAAAAATAATGAAAAATTTTTATAAGGGAAGATATCCATTTGCGATAAGAAAATTGCAAGCACTATTTCTTTTTTATATAATATTTTAAAGCTTGAAACCCCAATTTTTCAGATCAATAATTTAGATAATAATCTAATTAATTTTTTTTTACGGAGCTTACGTTGGAGATCCATCAAATCATATAAGATAAATCTCGTAAATCTCTAAATCATATAAAATAAAATAAATCTCTAAATCATATAAGAGATAATATAAAAGGTATATCATTTTAAGATCTTTCCCCCAAAACTGCTATGTACAGCATTTTCTTGGTCTCGCACTTTTTAGTGTTTCAAGAAGCTTGCAGTGCTTGCTTGTCTATACATATTTATTTTGAATGTTTTTTATAAATATTGTTTACTTGTATCACAATTTATTATTATATAATCATGGATGACGAAATGGGTGTGAAGTTATGGAATACTCCTGAATTGACCTAAGACCTGAGATTTAAGTGAAAACTCGACATTACTTGCAGTGCTCGTTGAAGCTTCAGGTCTCTCCTTTTTAATTAAAGTTCTTGCACGGTTTTTTTTTCTTCTTTTTTCCTCCACATTGGAAAGAAAAAGAGAAAAGACAAACCGTGTAAGAAGTTCAGCTAAAAGGAACAGGCCTTGTGTCTATTGATCTACTTTGAGTTTTCGTTCGCGACTGCCGGGACTGCCGTCGGCAACAGTACTGCAGACTGAAACCCAAATGCCACAACGTTTTTTCTAGCTTCTCCACTCTTACTGTCTCGCTCACTGTTTCGCTATCTCGCTCGCTTGTCGCGTCGTTACTTGGAGAAAGAAAGTGAAGAAAGATACACGCTGTGCAGGCTTTAGTCTGCAGCACTAATCCGCTCCGAGCTCGGAGCTGCGCTTAGAGTGAGATTTGCTTAGATGGGAAATTAGAGAATTAAATATGGCTTAAGAAATTTTTTCCATCCCCCTCCCCGCTCTCCAATAGTAAGTCACTCCACACTTGCAAATCCATCAAATAGTCGCGCATGTACATAACAGTAAGCGATCTCTTATTTATCACAGATAATTTTACAAAAATACTAAAATAGAACTAATAATAATAACAACTAACTGAGAATATGATTAGCTAACTGATGGCTAAACAGCATAGAAATTTTATCAGTGAGAGTAACTCCGGTATATACGCCGCATCTATCAAAAACTTAATTTATTAAGTATTATTTACTATGTTTATAGTAAACAAACTATGTATATAAATAAAAACTTTGTATACAATAAAAACTTTGTACTGTCTACTATGAAAAAAAATATTAGAAATCTGAAATATTTATTTTTCATATTAAAAAATAAACTTTTTGAAACCCTTGCATTTTTGCCCCATAGGAGTGGGATATATGGCTATTCATAGGGGGAGGGTATATACGGCTTATAAAAAATTTACAAATAATGCTTATAAATAAGATGTATAATGACATAATAACTTATAAAATGTGTTTATAAAGTTTTATTAAGGAATAAGAATGGTAAATATGTACCAGGTGTAAAAGTATGAAACCGGAATTTCCCTATATATGGCACTAGCTATCAGTTTAAGGACCGCAAGACCGTATCTGCAGCACCATCATCTCTCTCTAACAGCTGACGAAGATTTCCAACACACAACAACCCAAGTTCCATACACCGGTATATTTTTTTATAACCTTAAACATGTCGAGTTTTGTGCCTACGAACTACGATTTGCGGACAGCATTGGTTTTCTGTTATCATTTGAAGAAAACTGCTGCAGAATCGCATCGAATGCTTGTCGAAGCTTACGGTGAACATGCTCTTGGTAAAACACAGTGTTTCGAGTGGTTCAAAAAATTCAAAAGTGGTGCTTTTGACGTGAGAAACGAAGAGCGTGGGAAACCACCGAAAAAGTTCACAGACAACGAATTGCAAGCCTTATTGGATGAAGATGATACTCAAACTCAACAAGAACTCGCGGATCAATTGAATGTGACGCAGAAAGCCATCTCCATTCGTTTGAAAGCTATGGGAAAGATTCAGAAAGTGGGAAAATGGGTTCCGCATGAACTGAATGAAAGACAGCAAGAAAATCGAAAAACCTCTTGTGAAATGCTGCTCGACAGATACAAAAGAAAGTCATTTCTCCATCGAATCGTGACAGGTGATGAAAAATGGATATATTTTGAGAATC